AATATGGTTGAATCTTTTATAATAGGATTGTAAATTTTAATTATTTTAATTTTATTTTTTAAAATAAAATATAAAAAAAAACAAAATTGTTAACATTATAAAAAATCACGGGAAATAGAAATCCTCATGGCGACGGGGGTGGGGATAGCCTTGTCCCCATTAGTGGGGACGGGAATAGGGACAGGGATGGGAATTTTCACGAGGACAAGAATGGAGAGAGACTCCCCGTCACCGCCCCGCCTCATTGTCATTCCTATACAATATATATATAACACGTGAAAACGGATCTTCTCGGATTGAATAGGGGCGATCCAAATCCGATCCGATCTGAAGATCCCACCAACGATTATCCGAATTCGACAAAATAGGATCGAATATCGGATCCATTTGCACCCCTATCTCTCTCATTCTCTCTCCAACTAATGTTGAGAGCTGATGAGTGATGATGATATGGCTAATCCCAACAGTGGTTAATTTGATAAAAATTGCTGCGTCCACGGCACATTCATCTAATCAACCCCACGTAAGTTTTCTCGTGCCGAAAACAGCCTGAAGGGGACACTTGGGAGGAATTAGGGGACCAAACTAAACTTCTCAACCTTTTTGTTTGCCACTTGCAAAAAAATAGTGGTTCAGACTTCAGAGGCAATTTGACATTTTAGATAGAAAGAGCAATCTGTAACCTTGTATTGACCATTAGCTTAAAACATTTTCAAAACCTTTCTCTCTAATACAAATTGTATTGATAATAACCCAAAACACAATAAAATTAACCACTGTACCAAACACCTTTTTAGGTATCTGGACTGTTTGAATTATGAACTTATTGAAATTTGAGAGGTTCGGTTGAGGTAGTCGGATTCGACTCAAGTTTCCATTACAACCAGCCATAGACCATGACCATGCCCATGCCAACTAGCCAATTGGCACTTGCAATACTACCCGGGACTTTGATTATCACGTTGGTGATCACCATTCACAATGTAGGCATAGACTTGTTACGTGGCATATTCAGAAGATCAGGACCCCACAAGATCTGTCCCTCTCAAGTGTCAACTTGAGGGTAGGGGTGTCAATATGGACCAGTTTTGGATTGAATCCATCCAAACCAAAATTAACTTGGATGGATTGGATGGAGCAACAAAAATATATTGAATTGAACCAGTCCAGACTGAATGGTTCAAAGTATTTATGAATTGGATTAGACCTGGTTCATCCATAAAGACGACCAGGTTTGAGTTAAAATTAATCTAAATTAAAACATATTTGAACAATTTAGATCTTCGAAACATTAAATTGGACTGGTTTAAAATATTCACTGAATTCGATTGAACCTGATCCAATTGTCTCAAGAATTTAATACAATGCTACTATGTGTAAATAGGAAGGTCTTTTTGTTATGTAAATATTAATATCTCAGCTCACTTAGTGGCCCAGAGAGCTAATAACTCTTCTTCGGACGTATTTTAGTTTGCAAATTATCCACCAGGGATACCGGATGTGAAGAACTTTCTTGATTATCCTGATAGCTAATATAGTTATTTTATCTATAAAAAAAAAAGAAGTGAATTTTTTACTCCTTGTAATCATGCTTCAAGTTTTTTTAATGGTATTAGTAAGTAAAATTGCTTTATGCTGAATGATCTTTCAGGCGAATTCTCCTTTCAGGCCCAAATCATATATTCTTCTTGGCACCACTCAATGGTGGATTTTGAACTAGGGGTGTTCATTATACGGAAAATCGAACTGAATCAAATCGAATTTGCAGTTTAATTCAATTTATATCCATAAACGGTTTGGTTCAATTTGACAATTTTCTAAATTGTGGTTTGCTTTTTTGGTTTGGTTTATTAAATTTTATAAACTGAACTAAATCATAAATCGTAAATCAAAATTTTATATACAAATATATATAATATGAATATATGATATATAAATATTATATTATTATGGTTTGGGGACTTTGGACCATTCAATGATTTTTTTGGGCTTAACCCAATTAGAAAGCCCAAATAACTTCCCTAAAAATTAAAACTTAAAACTTTTATTTATTATTTTATTATAAAATAAAAGTTCATTATATATTTATAATTTTATGCATTCCATTTAGATATATTAAAAATGGTTTGGTTTGGTTTGATTTTCATACAAAAACAATTTGATTCAGTTTAAAAATTTCTCAAAACGTTAATTACTGATTTGGTCTGAGATCTTCTCCAACCACATTGAACCGGACCGTAAACACCCATATTTTGAACCTCTTAAATATATGACTCATGGGCTAAAAAATGTTACAGGCCCATCAATGAAACAGGAGAAAAAATTATTAGATTTCAAAGTTCAAAGTGTTTCCCAGCCGTAGAGATATGCTATCAATAAAACGCTTCCAATACTATCCCAACATGCACTGCAGCGATACATTGGAAACATTTCCGTATAATTGATGGAGAGATGTTCTGACAACTTGGGATATTGTTGGGACCGTGTTTTGGTATCTGATACGGTCATACCCAAACTTACTGGTTCTATTCCACCCCCCCCCCTCCTGAAAAAAATATGAAAAAATGCAAACAGGCCCAATGCAAATTTTTTATTTCCGCTGTAGAGTTATAAATATTCAAAATGTTAACAATTCATATTATATGCACCAACGCCCGTCGGTGAATTGACATCAATTTCCGAGCTGGCATCTACCCCAAAATCCCCAACAGTACTTTGGTTATATAAATTCTGACCTTAGGCTGAACTGTTATTTTCCCAACAAAATATTACAAAAAAACAAAAAAAGTTTAAGAGTTCAAAACATTAATTAAAAGAAAATTGGCAAAAGTAAAAAAAAAAAAAAAAAAATCTTAAATGTCGAAAGAATTGTGACTTGCAAATGTATGACCTACCTACTTAACATCAAAATTTCCAGAATTCTACAGTGTGATGTGGGATATGAGCAACCTACGCTTCAGTCTCCCAACCACTTTAATTTCTTCTTAAAATGCATAGTCCTATGATGTTGGAATGCACGGATGACTTTACTAGGAAAGACCCAGAAAACAAGAAAAAAAAAAGTGTGTGAAGCCGAGGGGCGATGACTTCCTCCTATTTGTGATAAAATAAAAAATAAAAAAAGAAAATCTAAATCACGATTCCTTAATCAGCGTAGAGAGACAATTTATGGATCTTTAGGTTTAGTTTGTTTGCGGTGTGATTTTCATTTGTACTAACTTGCAAAAAAAAAAAAAATCATTTGCACTAGTGCAAATGCATGACAGTGCAAATGAATATAGCATCAAAAAGAACCAAATAAGGAAACAGGATTCATGTTGCCGTTCCCATATAGTTGAGATAAAGCTTGATGAAGATGATTACATGCATGGCAGTGTAAATAGATTTAATATAAATTATGGTTTACTTTTTGTTTTCCATTTGATTATATTGTTTCTATGCATAGTAAAATAATGTAGCAAGGTTTTAAAAATCAATCGAGAACTGGAATTGCTTTGGTCACCAATTCTTGGGTCAGCAATTCGACTATCCGGTTTGAATGAATAGTCTATTCTAACTTAAAAAATACAAAAAAGGCTAAAAATCATTATTCAAGTAAAAGGGATTGACAGTTTGACCACCTGGGCCAATTGGTCACTGACCAAATCAATGATTTTTTATCAAAGAATGAAATGGAATCAATTGTCTAGATGATTCCTGAGCTGAATGATCCAACTGTCCAAGTCAACAACAATTCGAAAACACTGTAATGTATATTCCCAATTAATACCAAAGAGAATCAAGGTAATACTAAAGAGAAAGGTGACATGAATTTTTCATCAAGTTTTTAGATTTAAAAGTTAAAAGGACTAAGACCACTACCACCCCGAGAATGATGAAGCTGAGGATCATTTTCTAAATGATTGATAACGAAAACTAAGTGGAGTAGTTGGCCTTAGTTCCAGATGTGTGGTATTCAATGCACCTGCATCCAGTACGAGACCAATAATTATTGTACCAATAGCATCCCTCTCTAAGAAAAGAATTACAAAGATTGTGCGCCCTTCTCTCCAATATTTTATGTTCATGAGACTACACAGGGATAGCCCATCCCCCAACCCTGGTGACAGCGAGATTTGATCCCAAGTCCCACCATCAGTTGCTCCTCCCAAGTTCCAATCTTTTGAAAAAAAAACCTATTTTACAACTGTGGAAAACTAAAATCAAGATAACTAAAATCAAGAACTCAGAAGTATGTCTTGTAGCATGTCTTATCAGGGATTCAGGGGTACCCAACTTATTTGAAACACATATTCCTGGAGAGATTGTCCTTCTACTAAACCTAGTATGATATTTCTTTCCTCAAGTTCATGCCCAGACCTACAACTTTAATGAACAAGGGGAAAATACCATTATTCAGTCTGAACTCTGATTTTCCTAGGATCCAAGCATGCAGTTTTTCAGATTCAATAAAACCTGATGGTCTCTCAGCCAACTCAACCGCCGTTAGAAGACTCATCCCATCAAAATCCTGAAGTTTTACTTTGATCTACGGACTAAAGCAAGGAAAACATATAGCTTTCCAAGAACAGGGCAAAGTGATTTTCTTTCATTAAAGTCATGATCATGGCCTTCAATATAAACCTGAAGACCATATCTACTGCTGATTATCAAACACCAAAAACTTTGCCTCTCCATAGGAAACTTCCAAAAACCAGTCGCAAAGAAAGGGCCAAATTTCTTTTGCCCAATGTTCCATTTTATGAAACATGTTAACCAATGATAGTTAAAGTGTAATCAATTATAGTTTGTTCTCTCCATACTGCAGGATATGGAACTGCACACAACAACCAAAATACTTATGGATTCCAGTTCTATAGCTAAAAACAAATGTAAACATGCACAGAATTCAGTAGTTCTTGCATCAAAAGTGAAAAAGTATAAAATGATTTAAGCTTACAAAAATGAAAATCGCATGTATATCTCAACAACATTTACAGAAGGTGGCACATTAGACTCTATACAACATAATATTTGTGTTTTATTATCAGCATAGTTTTTCCCCAAAATGCATACTTTATTTTCCCCAAAATCTGATGTTACGGAAGCATTTGCTAAAATATAAAGATAATGGCAACCAACAATTTGTTCACCAAGTAATGAGCATTCCTTTTACTCGTATCAAAGTACAACCTGAGACAAGGCATACTTTATTTGCAGATAATGATGTTGATACACCCGGATATGTCCTTAAAGTGCAAGATAGCAACAAAACCATCAATGACAATGATGGTGAGGGATTATAATGTATAGTTTTTAACCCACCAAGTTTATTACTCATCCACAGAACTTATTTAACCAAACTAGGAGCTTGCACCGAAGACACGGATTCTGTGTTCGATCTTGACCCGGCAACATGGACAAGTAGCTTTTACCTTCTTGTTGTAATCCTCATTGCAATTAGCACACAGAACTTGATGGGCGCATGGAAGGAAAACAACTGAGACTTCATCCTTCATACAGATCAAGCATTCCCTCTCAATGTTTGTTTCTGTATCAGAAGAATCTTCCAATTTATATAGTTCTTCAATCAACTTCAAATTTGTTTCTTTCTGGATCTTTGCTTCTGCAGACATGGTATTAGATGGGTTACTTAGTTGAGTAGATTCTGCGGTTGCTTTGAGACGAGACAGTTCCTGTTCCAGCCTTTGGATATCATCCTTGTGCCTCTGGAAGTCTATCTCTATCTTCCGACGTAAGGCCTCCTGCTTTCTTTTAGCAGTTGCCTCAGCTGCTTCCTTTGATCTTCTATCCTCCTCTACCTGTGCAATGGCTAGATCTTTAGCTTTCAGTTCCTGCCTCCACTTTACCTGTGATCAGAAGATCCCCCAAAGATGACAATTTTATAATTTTTACGAGTCAAATAAAGAGAAAATAAAGAAAGTGGGGAAAGGAAGTTTAGCCCATTGTCCAAGATAAAGAACAAGGAAATGGGATATGCAGTCATAGACCAGATTAAGGCAAGTACTTACAATAGAAGGACAATGAACCTAAGATCACCATCCTCCATTGAAAACTATACGGAGGGACACCGCATAAAATTTTGTCCAATCTGAGCATCTAAGCATTTAATAAAGAAATAATTTGTGGAGCTAATCAAAACAAATGAAGTTAAACAGCTAGGAAGAGTATCTATATACCATGCAAGTGCAATAAACAACATTTAGAATTAAATCTAGGACTATATCCAATCCCAAAGGTGGCCCACCAATCAATTTGGATTAAATAAATTCAGGGTTTGGAGGCCATAATTCATTAAGGACAATAGACCTAAAGTACATAATATATTTTCTCAGGGATGATGATCATTTAGAATGCAATATAACCACTAGATTTCCTTTGCTTCATGGTAAATTGCAGCAGTAGAGATGAGAAATGAGAAAAATATGTTAGAACCCATTATGAAGTTTTGCTTAGCACACCTCAGTTTCCCTTTGAGATTCCTTGACCAAGGTTAACTGTTGTTGCAGCTGAGCAATCTTCTGCTTCTCCTCGGCTACCTCCTCCTGCAACTTAGCTTTCTGTTTCTCCCAAGCCAGAAGCCTCTTAAGGCACTTCTTCTCTCTCTTTGCAACTTCCAAACAGGTTGTAACTGATTCTGATGCACTTAACTTGGAAGCTTCCATCTCTGCCCGTATCTCTGCATTCTCAGTTTCAAGCCTTCTCACAGCTGCATTTGCACGGTCAACTTGGCCACTTGCCTTTCTTAGGGCATTCTCCATCTCTGAGAGCCTCTTCATGGTTGTGTCCTCAAGAGCCTGCTTACCCTTCTTAAGCCGTTGAGTCTCCTCCCTCTCCATTCTTAGCATCTTAAGTTCTGTTAGATCACTGCTCAGTTTTCTAGCAGCTTGCATTGCTTTCTGGTGGGCCCACTCCTTGCGATCCTTAACTTGTCCTTCAAGCTCCCTAATCTGATGGATCAGATTCAAGATTATCTCATTCTTCATGTCAGCTGTGCCACCATCTTGCTTCTCTTCAAGACTCAAACTACCCAAGCTACTCAAAACAGAGGTCACAACATCAGAAGGCTGTGAATCTCGAGGCTCCTCATGCTGAACAGCTTGAACTTCTGACCCAGATGCTACCCCCGAGGGTGGTTCATCACCAGATAAAGAGCTTGGACAAACCTGTGGTTGTGCCTGAGATTGTACTACAACTGCTTTTGCATTTGCCCGGAATCCCGCAGCAAACATTGCAACATTTCTTTTCAACAGAGACTTCATTGACGGTGTGAGGTTGAACCTCTTTGGACACTCAATGTCTTTGTTCAATGTAGTTTCAAGACATGATGAGAACCCGCCATAAATAGGGACATCTGATGGAATTCCATTTCCAAATCCCCAACCACCATGAAATTTGCATAGTCCGGGAGCAAGACCAACTGGGTTGTTGCTTGTAGGTTCACCATTGCCAGCAGTAGGACCAGGACCAGGAACAGGACCGGTACCACCAGCACTACCAGCACCACCATTGGTGGGGGGAAGGACTGGGATCTCCATTGTGCTGGCTCGGCCCACATGCAGATCACTCATGAGAAGACACCACATAGCATCTCCTTTACTCAAATGGGGCCGAACCTGCTGGAGTAAGCAGACCATGCCTGCCAGTGAGTACTCCTCCAGTTGCCTCAGATCCCCAAAAACTGGTTCAGGTTCCTCAGAATTCCCATTGTGCAGATTATTTACAAACGTACTATTAAGGTAAGCGAGTGAATTCTGCAGGATATTCGTGAGAACATCCATGCTACCGTAGCAATGCCCATTTCTTAAGATCGCTTTTAAGGCAACGTCTTCGTCATATCCAAGCGCTACGAGTTTAGAGATTGCTTCATTATACAAATACTCGAGGTTCTTTAGCAATAACTCTTCTAATTGATCTTCAGTACAGTACCCCCAACCACTCTCATCATAATTAGGGTTAATGTTAGGATTCCCGGAACCATTCTGATCGTCGTCATCGGAACTCCGATGATCGGATGGCTTCAAGCAGAATTCATGAAATGAGGAGGGGATTCCGGTTCTATCCGAGAGGTTGCAATCTATATCAAGTTTTATTGATCGAGTTTTCCGACTGCTTCGGATATGCTTTTCTCTTACGGTCCAACCCATAGTTCGGAAGAATCAAGATCGAGAGAAAGAAATAGAAATGGTGATTGGATTGAAATCAAGAACCCTAAAAGAACCAGCAATCGAGATAATCAATTGAATGAGTTCAATCAATCATGCGAAAGCGTATATGATATCGAAAGAAACTAAAATGAGATTGAGAGAAAACTTACCAAAACGATGCAGAACCCGTTTGGTTTTCGTCTTGAGTTGCAGGAAAAAGATCGAGTGGGTCGAACAGAGGGAAAATTGAGAGAGAGAGAGAGAGCTTGGAACGAGAAAATTATATAGGAAATGGCTCTTACTGCAACGTGCCAATATCTCGTTAAGTTAGGCTGAGTGGTATGGGCGTTCGCATCCGCCCCCCACAGAGTTGCCCCCCAAATACATCTCACGCGTTGTGGGCGCGCCACGTGTCCGATCACACGCGAAATAAAGAGACTCGTGCGAAGCTCATAAGACGGCCGTTAATTCCGCCCCGTTAGCTCCCTCTCGCCCAAAAGGGCATCATCCCCTTCTCTTTCTCCAATTTCAGACCTGAAACTCTCTATCTTCCGTAATCCGCCGGAGATTGCTCTCTTCGAGTTCCACCGATCAACGCCGATGACCGTTCCGGCTGGAGGTAAGTATCCCTCGACCTTCCGTAATCCCTTCTCTTTCTCCAATTTCAGACCTGAAACCCTCCACATCGATGTTTGATGTTTATGAGACGACTGAAACTGCATGTACACACTAGTGTGATTTCATGCTTTTATATATTTCAGTCAATCCACTTGGGATGCTGCTGCTAATTATTTATTGGGATACACAAACGTTGGATTAGTCGTCTTCGAGCAAGTAAGGACAGTTACAGCCAGCACCCGCACCTTCAGTCTCCTCACTCTCTCGGTTTTCGTAGTGAAGGGCGGCCTTGATCTTCTGCACCGTGCAAGATATGAGGTTGTTGACGGTCTCAACCGACTCCACGGTGAGCTTAGCCGTCGGCAGATTATTGACTAGTATCTAAAACGTCACCGTCGTAGTCCGATTTTCCAACATTTGGCATGCATGTGGAGTAGTCCGGCAGAGAAGCGCCATTAACTCAGAGATGTCTTTGCTAAACAGGTGCGGGTCTGCTGCAACTGAATCTTGATCTTCTCTATAGAAGCAGAGAGGATCAAGATCTTACAGTTTGACGGATCCCATTAGGGAAATACCAATTCCAAAATTACTTTTAAAGGAAATGCCAGTTGAACCTTTATTCAGACTTCAAGAGTGTTCAGACATCAGACTACTCCACACGCATGCCAAATTTTTGAAGCAGGTGCAGAGAGAGAGTTCACAATCCACATGGTGCTTCTCGGCCGGCGGAACTCGACCGGGTTAATTTCCGGTGGGTGGGTTAAGAAAGGGCAATGGTTTCAGGGTTTCAGTTCGAAGTGAATGGAGAAGATTGGGAGCAGAAACCCCTTGGGCAAGAGAGGTATTAACGGGGGAGCCTGAAACGGCGTCAAATTGATTTCGCACGCGTCTCGCCTAGGGTGCGTGTTTCATGACACGCGTCGCGTTCTGGTTTTGTGGGACGTTTTTGGGGGGCAAATCCGTGGGGGGCAGATGCGAACTCGTGGTATGAGTCCCAAAATGCCCATGTACTAGGGATGACAACGTTGAGGCAATTCGTTGAATGTTACGTGCTAAAAAGAGAGAGAGAGGTAGGACTGTTAACGGACCGGGTATGGCTCAGGTCCAGGAAGAACCGCAACCGACCCGACAACAAATTTTAAGGATTCAAAATCGAACCAGATTCAATAGAGTTTATAATTTTAGACCCAGTTTGGTCGGTTTTCAGGACAATCGGATCTAATTCGATGGATCTGATTATAATAAACCTATTAAAAATATTATATATATTATTAATTTATTTAATATTATATATATAGTCTAAATCAGTTTGGGACTGACTAGAACTGGTAATCAAGATAATATATCAGAAATTGGAATTGAGTTATTGGTTCCAGTCCTTAGAACTAGAACAGACCCAATCGGTTCGAGCCATCGGGTCAGACCCAATCCATTAACAATCCTAAGAGAGAGAATAATGGAGAGGGGAGGAGAAAAGACCCAACCCATTAACAATCCTAAGAGAGAGAGAATAATGGAGAGGGGAGGAGAAAGAAAAATAAGTGGTAACGATGTTGTGAAGCCAAAGACAAATATCAACTACCACATTATATTATAATCAATGATCAGTGATATTTTATTATTTTATTATTTTTAATGAAAAATACCTCACTTCATAGAAATGAAACGGAATATCCTACAAGAAAACTCTGCAAGCATGGTTGTATATGGGCATCCCTAGTTACACATTAGGCTAAGTTTGGAAAGAGTATAAATACAATTTATGTACAATGCAAATATATACAAAATAATACAAATTACATGGTTTTACATTCTATATATTTGTATTTGTATTCCTTCTAAATAGGTTTTTTGGAACTTTTTCCCTATAAATTTAACATACATGTACCCAAGATATTTCTAATTATATGTAGTTGGATTTTGCATGCATAGAATCTTATTTTTGTTTGTAGGAGATTTGGGTTCATAGAAATAGCCTCTTTTCTTTGAGTTCGGATTTATTGACCACAAAAACATTGGCCACATATTGTGCATAAGATATTACAGTCATACATTGGGAACATCTCCCATGAATAACAACAAGAGATGTTCATGATGCCTGGCTATGGGGTCTTTGTGGCAATGTTTTGTAATTGGCACATGAAAGAAAGAAAATAAAGAAAGTAGGCAAATGGTAGGGGCATCCATGAAAAACCAAAAAACCGAATCGAACAAAAAAAATTGAATCGCAAAATGCGGTTAATCGAACCGATCAGTTCGGTTTTGGTTAACCTACAAAGGTTCCACAATTTTTGAAAAGCCGAAGGTCTGGTTTGGCTTTCGGTTAATCTACAAAAAATCGGTGGTTAACTAAACCGACCGATATATATTCATATGTATATTTTATATATCTTTTTATTATATGTCACATATTTTCTATATATTATATATAATATATATTCATTATATATATATATAAATATATACTTATATTATATTTATAATGATTTATTTATAAATATATTATATATTTTTAAAATATTTATAATATATTATATATTTTTATTATTTATAATATAATATTATGTTTATATAATATATACTATAAATATAAAAAGTTGAAGAACCGAACCGGTCAAAAACCAAAACCGGCGACCGGTTAACTGGTGGTACTGATTCAATTTCGGTTTGGAGAAATAGAAAAACCGGTACTACCGGTTCGGTTTACAAAATAAGGCCATGGTTCGATTAACCAAACCGTAGACACCTGTAAGCAATGGTAATGGTGACTAGCAACCACAAATGAAATGGTAGTAAGGCAGTTGTTGTCACTAGTCATCCCCCCATGCCCACTTAGATCTCACTAAGGGTGTCAATGTTATTCTAAAATCTGATTTCAAATTTGAGATTCGACATAATCAAATTGAATCTGAATATGACTTGTTTCGATTTGATTGATTATTTAATTCTTACATATAATATATAAAATATATAAATGTGTTATATAAGTTATATAATAATTAAATCATATAAATAATTTATATATTTTATATAAATAAAATATTTACATTATATATTTATTAATTACCTAAAATAATTAATCGTTCGAATTTGAATTAAATTGAATATTCGAGTATTTAATCAAATTCCAATTCGAATATTAATTTTCTAATCAGATTCAAATTCAAATATTACTTGCTTAAATTCGTTTACACCCATAGATCTCACTATATTATGTTAAATCTGAATGATCACCAATATAATTCTTGGGTCAAATGGTTTGGCCACCCCAATCAACAATGGTTTTAAAACCATGGTTTAACCTACAAACAAGGTAGCTGGAGGACCACCCTTAGGCTGTGGATTGGGCACTATTATCTTATCATCCGATCCAAATCAGCCATGTACTCCACCTTTTACTAGCTACTCTTTCCACAATATTTTAATATTAAATTTGCCTAAAACAAGCGGTGATTATCATTGCTACTGCTAGGGTTTTGAGCAACCATCTACCTAGTATTGAGAAACTAGGCTCCATTAATTTGTTTGCATTCTATTTGTACGGGAACAAATACATGAGAGTGAAATTATGTACATTATGCATGAGAAAAAGTGCGAAATCTGCAGGTTCAATTTTACATCATCTGTACTACAAACAAACAAATAAATGAATAATTGAAATCAGCTGAATTAATGAATATAGGAATCTCATACTCAACCATATGGATAACCGTACCAGAAAAAACACTAACCAGAGATTTCTACCCAGCAAAAGCAAAATCTAAGAAGAAGACCCAATGTTATTCCGGCAATCGTGTAAACAGATATATATATATATATGAAGGATGAAGAATTCCGGCCGGCAATCATCTAATTAGCAGAAGACCCATTATTGGAAACCTTGAGGGCAACTTCAGTACGACAAATGGGGGAGGTCGACGCCTTCAAAAACCAGACGTCGATGCATTTGGCATGGAATAGATGTTGACAGTTAGGCAGAAGGCGGCAGCATTGGCCTTGCAGAAATCCTTCCAAGCAAACAGTACATTCATCACCCTCCCACTCCCTGCAGGAGCCATAGATGATGGACGATAATGGCGTTTCGCTTACTTCGCTTATTGGAGATGGAGATAACTCATCATCCTCTTCATCCTGGCCATATATATCAATACAGCAGAAAGAAGCAATCGCCAAGAGACCACACACATAGTTTATCGCGGTAACGATGGGCACCACCGTCAACCAACTCATTTGCTTTACTTCCACAGTTGAAAGTTGAAACGCGAGACGAGATCGAGATCGAGAACAAACAACGTAAAGGGATGCATGTCCAATTATATATATATATATAAGCTGTGGTTGGAGACGGAGTGCAAGACGATTTTCCTTCTCTGTGTGAGAGTCCTAGTACTAGTTTCAAACTTACTAACAATAGGATTATAGGAATGCATCGATCAAGTTCGAGTGTGTATGTAACTACCATCTACTGAGGTGCTTTCCTATTGGGCCCACGTGTAACCAGCAGATTCAGATAGAATCAATTAAGACCATTGGACTTGTTGACTTCTTGACCTAAGATATTACTATTGTAATTGGTCTCATGAATATGTTAATTATATGATGAGCCGTAGAGGCTACGGGGTCACTGAGCCCAAACCTTGGGGTTAGGATAGATTGGGCTATGCTGTTCAATTTGGGCCCTAACTAAAAATCCCAACTTGAGCTTAAACTCTGGATGGATTGGGCTATGCTGTAGCCTGTAGCCCCTTTCACCATTCACCAAGGATGAAGCCCTGGCTTATGGGTACGGGCTACCCCTGTTGTATTGTGAAGCTGTAACCCATAAAGCCAACGTACAACGCAAGGTTTTTAAAAACGACCTGGAAATAGAACCGGTCAAGGGACCGGTTTCCGGTTAAGCGGTTCAACCGTTCGGGTCAAACGGTTTGACTCGTGATATTATAAATAAATTAAAAATAAAAAATATATTTATAAATAATAAAAATAAATAAAATACAGAAAATAAAACTACTCAAATACAAAAATAATACAGTACAAAACACAGAAAATATAAAAATAAAATACAGAAAAATTCTAAAATATGCAGAAAAAACACAAAAAATTCAAAAAATACAGGAAAAAAACAGAAAAATTCTACAGCTATGGTGCATGTTGAGGATGCTAGGTAGATGGTGTTGGTTTATGGGTGCAATTCAGCCAGCAGAAGAAGTTAATATGGAAACACGTTGCCCTGCTCAAGCCAATATTCCTTAAACAATATAACAGTATAATAAGTTCTTCGGTTCACAACACAAACGGATGAAAACAAAAAAAAGAGGCACAAAAAACTAATGAACTAAAAACAGGAAGTTCTTTAGTAGAAATAGAGCAGAGCAGAAACTTCTACCCCCAAAAAAGCAGAGGAGAAATGAATGATTACTTTATAAAGACAAAAAAAACACTTCACCAGCCAAATAAAATTGAACTAATCAACCTTAGACAACAATGGTTGAGAGAAAGATAAGAGAAGATAGAGTTTCATGGACCTTGACGAAACTAGGAGGCAACAAAGAAACGGCCACGCAAAACAAAAATGAAGGAAGAATAGAAAACAAAAGTGAATAGGAAAAGCTGGTATGCGACCAAACTCACCGCCGGCCGCCGCTGCAAAATCGCCTATCGCCACTGCTACTTGTTGCTCCTGCTAATTACAAAAAGAAATCCGCCGTAGATGAAATTCATCGCTGTCGCCCAGTCGTCGTGATTCACCGTTGATTGCCATCGGTCATGACTATCGCAGGTCGTCGGTCGTGGCTGTTGCAGATCACTGAGAGGAAGGAACTCAAGGAAGGTTTAGAAGTAAGAACGAAAATGAACTTTCATTTTGAACTTCCAACCTTAACTCGTAAGATTTGGGAATCGGGGACATGAGTGTCCTTTTTTTGTTTTTTATTTTTTTTAATCTAACAAAAATTAATTTCGTAACCCGCGAACCACTGCCCGGGTCGAACAGTTTAGCGGTTCGATCACCCGGGTCAGCGGTTTTTTGACCTTTTCAACGGTTATTAGGCATTAACGGTTTATGGTATAACCGGACCCGGGGGCTGAATGCTTATCGGTTTTTCCGGTCTGACCATCCGGCCCGGTTTAGTTTTGAAAACCATGGTACAATGTACAATTTCCTAACCCAACCCGACCCAAGTTACACTACTACCCGATTGTGTTTGGGCTCGGATCTGTTACCCACGAGTTGTTGCCACATTTATACCCACAAGACATTAGTGCGCTACGAATAAGGTAAAATACAAAAAATCTTTGCTGAAGTTTCTGACAATACAAAAAATCTTATTTTCGAAGAAATCGATAAATACCTCCCTAAGACAAAAAATATTAAACTAATAATCTTTTTTTGTCAAAATACCTATTTTACCTTTTTATGAATTAAACTATTTTTACTAGAATACCCCCCTTGTGCCCTCTCCTATCAATTTTAATTTTTTTTTATCTGAAGAGGAACAACCCAAGAGAACGAACCCAAAAAGAACGAATGGGTAAGGATTCATTTTCATTTTAACTCACAAGGATTTCGGTCATGTGGGCTCTGATTTCATTTTAACGAACAAAGGTTTTGCCCTGTATCCCTCAGTATAAATTACTTATTCGACTGTCCTCGTTATCTTTGTTCTTTTGTAGATTTTTAACAGTATGTAGAGGGTTTTGAGTCAGGTGGGGTGAATATCACCAATCCATCATTTCCGATTCTTGTAGTTACAGGTCATCAAGACAATGGGCGCTTATGGAACGGATAACAACAGTTTAATCCTCACCAAGTTCCTACTCCACTACCTCAATACTGCTGTCCCAAGGAAAGGTGGAATTGGGTCCAAGTTTGAATATGGTGCACTTGTAGACACGACTGTTTATGGGGTGATTTTGATGGGCAAAACCGCTTTCTCTTGCAGAGGGCTGTTTTGGGTATTGAGAGTGGTTTGTGGTTTGGATTTGAGCAGAGAATACAGAGTTCGGTTGGAGAGATTGATTGGTGGAATGCTTGACCAGGCAACGTCGGATGATTTTGGTCATGAAAGTGGTAGGGGTGATCATGGGCCGAGCCGGGCTGGCCCGCACTGGGCTTTGCCTTCACAACAATGGGCTTAGGCTAGGCTCGGGCCCAGCCTAGCCCGCATTATTGGCCTAAAAATAAAAGTCCTGGCTCGAGATTCTATATGGGCTTGGGTTGGGCTGATCTAAGATTCTAAACTTAATTATTGTATTTCAGTTCCAAAATTTAATAATTATACTTTTTTTTCACTTATTGTGGTGGAGATTATAATAACCTGTAAGAAACTTTAAATTAAATATCAAAATAAAAGCTTCTAATATAAAAAAATTAAATAATTATACCTTATAATTTATAAGTTTCAATTGGTGGTTTTGTGAAATTGGGTAGTGGTTTTGTGAAATTAGTGAGAAAGATATGGACAATGGGAAGATTAGGATTTAATAATTTCTATATTTTATTAAATACTAAATTAGAATTTGGTAAGATCTAGAACCCTAGGATTAAAATCTTTAAATTTCTACAAATCTCTATTAATATCTATTTAATATATAAAACATTAATTATCAAATATTTTTAAATAATATATATACATAGAGATATATATTATTTATAAATATCTGGGCCAGGTCCGACCTAAAAAATTAGGCCCAAACCCGATCCTAAATTTTATAGGCTTGATGCAGGCCCAAGCCTGGGTCGGGCCTTAACAAAAAACCTAAGCCTAAGCCCGGATTTTCTGGGCCGGATTGAAATGATCACCCCTAGTGGTGGTGCTTATGATGTGAATCTGGTCTTGAGATTGGTTAAGGTGTTTGTTAATGATGATGGGCTGATAGTGCAGAAGATGAAAAAAGTTGASTGAGATTGGAGTACGAATACTATTGCCGCTGCAAAATAAATGCCCGGTGAAAAATCGAACTCTAGGGTGAAGACCGGTCATCGTCTGATGAAAAATCGTTGACGAGAAACGGATGGAATATTTCGGGAAATGGAACATTCCGAATACCATCGCCGCTGCAACTGTTAAGGTTAGGAGTCGAGTGTTCTGTCAAAAGTAGGGAAAAGTGGTATTTTGCAAATAACTCATATAACGTTTAAGGGTAATAAGGTAATTTACACGTTATTCATCTTGATCATTGATGACAGGGAGGTATTTATCGATTTTTTAAAAAAATAAAAGGAAGGCTTTTTGCAAAATAAAATTATAAGAGAGATTTTTATAATTATCAAAAACTTTTGGGAAGGTTTTTGTATTTTACCTTAGGAATATCTCCCCTGTCATTCAATCAAAGGCGAGATATTCCCAATATATGGTCTGTGGGTAAGGATGTAGTAGATCTGAGTGGGTTGTGTTGCTCATTTTCCCATCAAATACCAAACTACTCCCTGCCTGCATTTTGTATGTTTTTTTTTTTTTCAACTTGCACAAAGGGGGAGGGGGCGGGGGGTGTTTGGTAATTACATCTCTCTTAAAGACCTACTCAACAGTCCAAAAATACCCAACGTCTAACTTTTCTCTTTGAAAATTTCAGGACCGTGATTCGTGGGAGAGGTAACTAGTAGAGAAGAGAAGCCTTTTTCTGTATCCAAAACCCAACAGCGATTGTGAAACAGGCGATGTGCGCACGGTGCTTCAACACTATCCGCTTTAGAAACATATGCAGCACCAGCTCATTATTCCGCGACTCGAAATCAAATCTACGTCTCACAAAAAATGTTTCTTTACGGAGCTCGAATAAAGGCAGCTCCAAGAACCCATCTTCCATTTCAGACGCAGAGGTTGTAAAATGGAACATGACCATCAGTGAACACATGCGGAATGGACAATGCGATTCGGCCCTCCATTTGTTCCAAACCATGCCCCGCCGAACTTCGGTTTCCTGGAACGCCATGATCTCTGGTTACCTGATGAATGATAGATTTGACCTTGCTCGTCATTTTTTTGATAAAATGCCTAGTAGAGATCTTGTTTCTTGGAACGTTATGCTAAGTGGGTTTGTAAAGAATCGCAACCTTAGTGGGGCTAGATTTCTGTTCGACAAAATGCCTAAACGAGACGTTGTTTCATGGAATACCATGTTGTCGGGTTATGCCCAGAATGGATATGTCGATGAAGCAAGGGAGATTTTTGACCGGATGCCGAATAAGAATTCCATCTCATGGAACGGGATTCTTGCTGCGTATATACAGAATGGGGGAATTGATTCTGCTTGTCAACTTTTTGCATCGAAATCAGATTGGGAGATTGTTTCCTGGAATTCAATGATGGCAGGTTATGTGCGCAAGAAGAGACTGGTTGATGCACGGAACCTTTTTGATAGAATGCCTGAGCGAGATGAAGTTTCTTGGAATACCATGATCACAGGTTATGCGCAGAATGGAGAATTATCAGAAGCACAGAAATTGTTCGAACAGTCTCCAATTAGGGATGTCTTCACGTGGACAGCAATGGTGTCTGGGTATGTACAGAATGGGATGTTGGAGGAAGCCAGGAAAATTTTTGATGAAATGCCTGAGAAAAACGCTGTTTCATGGAATGCAATGATTGCAGGGTACGCACAGTGCAAGAGGATGGACTTAGCTAGGGAATTGTTTGAGGCAATGCCATGTCAGAATATTAGTTCTTGGAATACTATGATTACTGGATATGCCCAGAGTGGAGAGATTGATCATGCTCAGAGTTTGTTCGATGAGATGCCTCGGCATGATTCCATTTCTTGGGCAGCTATTATTTCTGGTTATTCTCAGAATGGTCTTAGTGAAGAGGCTTTACGCCTTTTCATAGAGATGAAGAGAGATGGAGAGAGGATGAATAGGTCTACATTCACCTGTGCCCTAAGCACATGTGCGGATATTGCAGCTTTGGAATTTGGGAAGCAAGTTCATGGGCGGCTTGTTAAGGCTGGATACGAGACGGGTTGCTATGTTGGGAATGCACTTCTTGCAATGTATTGCAAGTGTGGTAGCATAGATGAAGCATACGATGTCTTTCATGGAATGCCAGAGAAAGATTTAGTTACATGGAACACAATCATAATGGGTTATGCCAGGCATGGATTTGGCAAGGAGGCTTTGAAAGTTTTTGACTCAATGAGAGAGATGGGTATCAAACCAGATGACGTCACCATGGTAATGTATATGATATTTTTTCTAATTCGTTATTTTTTCTTTTTTAGTCTTTGTATTTGTGAATTCTAGTATGGAAGTAATACAATGAACCATTCTCAATTAAACCAATAAACTAGACTGGATATGGCTAATTAACTGATTGATTTGGATCTTTCTATTGCTAATCCACTAATGGATTGACAATGATTCACAAGAAACTTTAAATGACCAAAAGATATCAATTATTTGATCTAAAGGTAAACCTTGACCAACGACACTTAGGTATGGATATTGGAAATGGGAATATGACTCTCTGTTTCCTATAATCGTGGASACACAATATGTACCCATTTGATGTGCTTATGCTTTTATATCTAGTTTTTGAATCTAAGTTTGATATCTCAATATTTATGTCTTGTCAAATTCAGTTAAGTTTCTAATATGATTTGTTAAAATATACCATTTTGCACATTTAGAAGTTTTAACACTATGTGTATCTTGCGAAGATTCTTACCATAGACCACCTGATACTTAGGGGCAGCAACTAGTAAAATGTCTGTTCATTTTGTGATATGCATGAGTCTGTAGAGCACCTTATCATATAGTGGCATTTTGTAAATCTATTTGAGCAATAAGGGCCATTCTGGAACTTAACACTATTTGCAATATATTTGTATGTATCGAAGGAAATGAACAAAGCAAATTAGCCAATGCGGTTTTAACCATGTCTTACATTTATTCTGCTGTTTCCATTTTAGTCCTCTACCCTGCTTCCACTTTTAAGTTGCAATCATCCATGATCAGGGAAGGGGCTTTAAGGAGGAGCATGGACATCCCAAAGTTTTGAAAACACCCCTATATACATTGGGGGTGATGCAGTGTTGTCAAACATGTGTTGGGTTCTTAGATTCCATGGATTCTTTTGTTGTTTGCTTATTTGATATAAATGAACAGATAATGTACATTATGAATGCCAATCTTCCTACAGAATGTTACTTAGTAACAAAAATAAAACAGATTTTAGATATGTATATGATGTTAGAACAATATTATATAAACTCTACTTTAGGCACGTCCCTCAATCCATGTTTTTTTCACCTTGTCAAGCCACTCCTAGACATGTGTCAGGTTATGATTCTCTTGTCTGGTGTCCATGTAACAACTCTCGGGGCAATGGAGGTGGCTCCATCTTAATTAAGTACTTTGTTATTATGTTGATTTTTTTATCGGTTTTTCCCCACTATACAGGTAATATGGGTGGAGTCTGATGAAGCCAACTTATAGTCTGAATTCATTGATTTTTATTTGTTGAGAAATACAGATACTGTGTCCCATCCATCTAATGTTCTTTTCTTCTCAACTCTGTTTTACATTTGCTCAGGTTGGTGTTCTGTCAGCGTGTAGTCATACTGGTCTACTAGATAAAGGTACAGAGTACTTTTACTCAATGGAAACAACCTATGGTATAACACCAAAGGCACAACATTATACCTGCATGATTGACCTTCTCGGCAGAGCAGGACAACTGGAAGATGCTCAAGCTCTTATGAGAAACATGCCTTTTGAACCTGATGCTGCAACATGGGGTGCTCTACTTGGTGCAAGCAGGATTCATGGAAATACCAAATTAGGTGAAGAGGCTGCTGAAAAAATTTTTCAGATGGAGCCTGAAAATTCTGGGATGTATGTTCTCCTCTCAAATTTATATGCAGCTACAGGTAGATGGGGTGACGTAGGTAAGATGAGATTGATTATGAGGGACAAAGGAGTGAAGAAGGTTCCAGGATACAGTTGGATAGAGGTTCAGAACAAGGTTCACACATTCTCAGTTGGGGATTCAGTGCACCCTGAGAAAGCCAGAATTTATGCTTTTCTGGAAGAATTAGATCTGAGGATGAAGAGAGAAGGATATGTTTCCAGAACTAAGCTGGTTTTACATGATGTGGAAGAAGAGGAGAAGGAGCATATGCTTAGGTATCACAGTGAAAAACTAGCTGTTGCATTTGGGATTTTGACTGTACCACCAGGACGACCAATTCGTGTGATCAAGAACTTACGGGTGTGCGAAGATTGCCACATTTTTGTCAAGTACATATCAAAGCTTATGGGGAGGTTGATAATCTTGAGGGATTCTAACCGCTTTCATCATTTTGATGGAGGTTTGTGTTCTTGTGGGGATTACTGGTGAAGTTGAAGTGAATGGCTGATATAATGTTGAAGATTGTTGCAAAAGATCTTAATTGCTGATCCATTCGTGAAAGCCACAGGGATTGCATTCATGCACCTTGGAATGGTAAAAAATTCCTTTTACAGAGAGTTGACGACTCCTGGAAGTACAAAATCAAGGTGGACAATGTTTTTCCTGTAAGTTGGAGCTATGAAGGACTCCTTTTTGTTTGGGACATTGTTAAATTGTTAACAAGCATGGGTCAGTATGTTGTAACCCTCTTTGAGAGGGAAAAAAGGATCATTAATGTTGGATGGCTGTTCTTCAAGGCAATTAGGAAAAGCAGAATGGATCAGGTCCAAGGTTACTTTAATTATTTGCCATAGGAACTAACAATCTGGAGAGACAATTGGCATAGAAAGGTGTTCTTTTCTTTTGGTTAGAACAAAAAGTTCTGCATTTTAGCTGACAGTTTGGGGTATTTTTGCACTTTGCAACAACTCAGGAGAAAATTTAATGACTGTGATTTGTGAAACATTGTCTGATGTAGGACGGGAAGGAGAAAGTCCTACTAGGATGAAGATGGTAGTAAAAGAAGCTAAGAGGAAGAGATTCAAATCTGAAAAGAGAAGAAAAGGTAAAGAAAGTGAAGGAACATTGTGCCTTTGGAAGAAAAAGATGGACAAAGAGAGAAAGTATCATACAATTATCTACAGGTAACTTCAGAACAAACTCTTTATTCCATTAATCCAACTCTGAAATTTTAATCATAATGACTATCTATAGATAAAACATTAAAGCTCGGTTCTCCCTCTACATTTTTTTATTGGAAACAGTAACTTTCATTAGACTTTATAGTTAATAATGTACACTGTTAACCATTCAGAATATGAGTGTTGATCCCAAACAACTTTAATTCTTACAGCACAGCCCAAAAAAGGTTTTCCCTGAAGGTCCCCTGCTTTGCTAGCATATCAGCCACAGAATTGGCTGACCTTCTTACCCACAGAATTGTCTAATAGTCCATACACCCAAGCTTTTTGTCTGCAGCCATTCCATTAGTAGTTTAGAGTCTCCTTCCACCTCAAAATTTTGAAAGCCCCATTGCTTCGCCAGCCTTAGTCCTTGTAGTAGGGCCAACATTTCAGCCCTCAAAGAATCTCCTTCACCAATGGGGCCAGAGTACAATGGGTTCTCCCTCTACATTCTCCAATTTAGACTAAAAAAATGATCCAAAATAGCTTCTAACTATTTCAAAATAAGATGACTCCACAAGTAAACCTATAGGGGCACTCTAAAATTGAACCAAAGAAATAGAAAGGTTCAAACCCTGTTATAGACATCCTGTCACTAAAATGACCACAATTCTCTCGAAACATGTCATTTACAAGTTCTTGGTCTTGTTAGATAGACAACTCAATTACTTATCTAATTACACTACATCATGCAAAATGGATAAGTTTTGACCCCTGAAAAATAATCTGAAAGAAAATAACATGATTCCAGCTTTGACTTTTCAAAATTCTAGAAGCTCCTTAGTAGGAATCTATAAACCATTTTGATCATTTAAAATGTCTAATCCTGTTCTTAAGACACTTACAAACTAGGAAATAAATTTGAAAAAAATACTCAGAGAATACTAAAATCTTTTTATAATGCTAATAAGAGTCAACCATTCAATTAAATTAAGGGGGAAAATGAGTTATGGTCAATATGAATACTTAGCCACCAATAAGGCAAAGGCTTGTTTAGCCAGCTCATGTGTTGCACTATTAGCCTCCCTCTGAGCATGGATGAAACTGAAGTCGGTCCAACTTCTGCTAAGAAGATGGGTATCAGCGATGATGTTCCTTCTTGGGGAGTTGGGCAGTGAATCCAGCATCCTGATTTCAGTGATGATAAAGAATACTTAAAATCCAAATAACCAAAAAGTTACAACATTGCTACTCAACAAGAAACTAGGAGAAGGCATCATAGTAGCTTACATTCTTGTGTTATGACTTGTGTACCTTCCTTTCCATGATTACAGAGTTCCATTATTCTCTATATGAAGCGCCTGCAGCCATTTGTATTTTGTAAATTTTGGGTATGTCCTTTTCCTCGAGCATACTTTAATTGTTAGTTTTATTATTTTCTTTTAGATTATTCTTTGCTATCATTCTAATTGAAACTCAAATTTCTCTCCCTCTCTTTTTAATATCTCTCACAGAAAAGATCTAATTCATACAATTATTCTCTTTTTGGGTAAATATGAGCTCTCTTTTTCAATTATTTATTTCTTATTTCTTGTTTTTAGGCCATTTCTCAATTATGGTACTGGCTATCAAGGGTCTTGGCAGGATAGATTGGATAGGGATCTGCCGATCTAATCTTTGGTATTCTTCTCTTTTGCATGGAATGCTGTCAGGCGTGATGGATGTTCTCATGCTTGTCAGCCAAAGATTTAATAGACATTGCCCCAAGAAATGGCTACTTATTTCTTCTTATTGATGCACAAGAAATAAATTATACAAGAGTGGAATTGAACACAAAGAGGATCACCTTGTTATGGAGAAAGTGAAGGCAACAAAAATACAATGAAAAAAATATGTTTTCTCCAATACATTTTCATCTATACATGTATTCATTGGCAAGAACCTGCCAATTTAGCGCTAACTAAATTAAACTCATCATAATCTGTCAATGTATTGTTTACTTTTGTTTTTTTCTTGACTCTTTTTTCATACATCTGAACCAAGGTTCAAAATATCGTCATGTATCGGCCCGTATCGGTCAATATGTATCGTATCGGAGCCTTCCCGATACACCCCTACAGGGGGTGTTTTGGATCGGCGAGTGTTTCATGGGGTAGACTGGCCTTAGACTGGCCCCTCTGAACCAGATTCAAAAAACAAAAAAAAAAACAGTACCGATACAGGCTGATACACCCTACCGGCGTATCACCCTGTATCGATATTTTGAACCTCGATCTGAACCAAAATTGGTTTAAACTTGATTGTTCCGAAAATGTCTTTGTTTGCAATACTATGTTTTGATAAATTACAAAAATAAAATAGAGTTTTTCTCAATATTGGACCAGCAGACTGCTATCTGTAGTTTTTTTTGTAGGGGCGAAACCATTTTCCTCCTCCCAGTGTCACTGATGATTTATTGGTTAGTGTGAAGAACTAGACTTGGCAACTTCAGAAGAAACTAAAATTTTTCAAGAGTTTACCTTTGTTTCAATTAGTATCAGCAAAGTAAAAGGCAGTGTTTTGAAGGAATCTAGTGAGTACAAAATGAAGTAAGCTAAGGTGCTGGTTGGTAAGTCTTTTCAGGAAGTTTTTTTTTTTTTTTTTTTTTTTTTTCTTTTGAAGGGCTACAGAAGATGGGGTAGCCCATCCCTAACCCAAGTGCAAGCGGGATTTGATCCCAAGTCTCCACTATAACCAGCAGGAGGCCTTACCAACCAGTGGGTTGGCACCTTGCGTCTTTTCAAGAAGATTTTCTAACAGCCTAAATGGCCAAAAGGTGTAATGAGCTTTTGGGGTTTTCTCTTTAAAGATAAAAGATCTAGACTGTTTGGTATGCATCCTAGCCTATCATGATCTACAGAGCTGTTAAATGGAAGATTTTAGGTGCAAAAAGACAGGGAGTTTCATTTGAACTTTCCTGATTTTTGACCATTTGGGCTTCCATGAGCTTTTTAGGGCATAGGTCTTCATGACTTCCTGTCTTTCATTATTAAACAAAGAAAGACCAAATTTTAGTCTTCCAATCTTTGAAAAGCCCAAAAGACTATATTAAAAGGTTTGTCAAACGCCTCCTAAAATGATTTGGTTATATGCAGAGAAAACCATCTATAGCACTAGTGAGAAGCAGTGTTACCAAGGCAGTGAGGCTATGGCAAGTTAGTTTAGCCTCTCTAGTTGATGTGATGACTAACCGGTTGCCTACGCACTCAATTTACTGGTCATTACCTAATGTTGGTCCCAATGGCTTGGGAAGGGTAGATTGGATACAAACCTAACCTTGGTATTTTTTTGCACAAAGTCACTATACCAAACAATGACCCCTAATATAACATAATACAAACATACTCTATATTATTTCAAATAAAACTTTTAAAATGAATATGTTGTTAACTAGAATGATAGTCATTAATTGACTTGCGACCAACTTATTATTGATGCAGTTAGTTTGTACTCATTTAGGGGGGCAGACATGGAAAAGGGTGGGTTGAAGTAATGAAACATTATTTAAGTTAGGGCTGCAAGTCAGGTTGCATGATTTGAAAATTTTCAACTACATAGGCTTAGATTAGGATTTGGGATTTTGGCCCATTGAAATTTTAACGAATTTCCAACCCAACCCAACCCAACGCAAGTTGCACCCTTAATTTAAAGGCCCATAATTTGACAATGGATGTGGAATTGATTTTTTTTTTTTTTTTGATATTTGATATGGAATTGAAATTGAGGTTGCATAGAAATAATTTAATTTATTTCGTATTGTCATTTTCATTGGGGGCAAAAGAATGAAATAAGTTTGGAATTAATTTTTCTACGAAAGATTTTAATTCAGTTTATTGGGTACATAAATGAACAACTAATTTAGTTTATTGGGTACATAAATGAACAACTAATTTAGTTTATTGGGTACATAATTGGTTAAGCTATTTACTTGCTTTACTGGTTGCATTTAGGGCCAAAAATGTCATTTAAACGTGTTTCTATATATATCCACAGTTCCATTAAACTAATAAAGCTAAAAGACTATAATGCCTCTCAGGTATTTGAAACTAGAAAAATTCTTTTTCTGGTAAACCAGATGGGAATTCTTCGTTTGAAATAATTACTTCTCTATTCTACTTTAGCGAAAAGTTCTAGTTTCCACGGCTAGCGTAAGTTAGAAAAAGGTTCAACTAAATTGTTGGATGGCGTGAATAAGCGCCAATGTAAAGGTTCTCTAATCTGATGGATGGCTTGGAGTTTTCAATTTTTTTTTTTTTTTTTTCTACTAAGGTCCTGTTTGTTTTTTCATAATTTTTTTTTATCCGGGTAAATACAATTATCTAGGTAAGTTTTTCCTGAAAAACACTTACCCGAGTAATTGTATATATATTCAAGGTTCAAAATATCGATATGCTTGATACGCCAGTAGAGGCATATCGGTTGTTTTTTTAGTTTTTTTTCCAAATCCAGTTCAGAGGGGCTGGTTTAAGGTTGTCCACCCCCTGAACCGGTCAAAACCCCGTATTTCCCAGGTAAATAAGGTAATGACCATTTTAACCATAAAACTCCATTATTAAAAGGGGTATTTTTGTCCCATTCAAGTGTTGGCAACTTTCTCCAAGGTGGGAAAGTTATTGGGGTAATAGCATATAAGGGCAACTTTTGGGGTTTAATATCAATAAAAATTTTCAAAAATAGGTTAATTTTTTAAAAATAATATCAATAAAGGGCGAAAACATTGTTCATCATCTTCCTCTAGTCATTTGTTCACCAGCGCCGCCGTCCGCCACCCGCCGCCGCCTCCGGCAACATTGCCGGAGGTGGCCGGAGGCGGCGGTGGCAACGGTGGCGCTGGTGGTCATTTCTTTGCCCAACGCCACTACCTCCACCTCCGCCTCCACCTCCAATAGCGTTGCCGGAGGTGGGTGGAGACAGAGGTGGCGGCAGTGGCGAACGGCGGTGCTGGTGAACAAAGGGCAAGAAGAAGATGATGAACAATGTTTTTACCCTTTATTGATATTATTTTTAAAAAATTAACCTATTTTTGAAATTTTTTTAAAAATATTACTTTTATTGATATTAAACCCCAAAAGTTGCCCTTATATGTTATTACCCCAAAGTTATTTACCCACCTAGGAGATAGCTATCGCAGGAAATAAACTTTCTTTGGTCCACATAAATATGAAAAAAGAACATGAGATTCTTGGTCAATGAGAACCAAAATCTCATTGACCAACTTCCCCCCTCTCAAAACCAAAAAAAAGAACACCCCCTAATAGTCCATTGATATCAGTAGAAAAGTTATGGGTCATTTATGGTGAATCAAACGCCCCCTCCCGGATTTGCAAGACCCAACTGAAGATGATTATAGGGAATTCAAATCCTCAATGGTGAGAACTGAGGACATCTTCACTAGGGCCCAACAGTTATTGGCTCACCAAAAATTGAAGATCTTAATTAAGTCAAGTTTGGAGGGCCTGTCTGGAACAAGTGAACAACATTTATTTTATCCACATCACCCTCTGGTTTTGGTCAAATCTTAACCAAATAGACCACCGCCACCCGGTAAAATAATCTATCTGCTTTTTTAAATCTTAGGGATAATTTCTGCCTGTACTTTGGGTCTAGTGCCACTTTGGTCCCTAAACTTTAAAATGCAATAATTCAGTATCCAAACTTTTAAATTATGATAATTCAGTACCTGACATTAATTAGCTGATGACCAGTCATTAAGTTGCATTTGAAAAAGACACAAATGCCTTTCGAGTGTCATCTAATTTTTTTTATCAACCATCCAAACATTGACAAAAATTAACAGTACCAAATCTTTGCCTTTTCCATTCAAGAAAGTTAGGGTCATGTTTGAATGGGCATTCTGGTGACCCCAACTTTTTTGAACAGAAGAGGCAAGGATTTGAGACTGTTAATTTTTGTCAATGTTTGGATGGTTGATAAAGAAAATTAGATGACACTCGAAGGGCATTTGTGTCATTTTCAAATGCCACTTAATGGCTGGTAAACAGCTAGTTAACGACAAGTACTGAATTATCACGTTTTAAAAATTTGTGTACTGAATTGTCGCATTTTAAAGTTTGGGGACCAAAGTAGCACTAGGCCAAAATACAGGATACTAATCGGGAATTTTCCCTAAATCTTATATTAAACAAAGAATCATTATTGTGAATTATTTTTCTTGTACCAACTGATGGTCGTTCAATTGATAAATTCTCTAGTTGTAACGAAGACTTAGGATCAAATCTTGTTGCCACCAAAGTTGAGGGTATGGACTACCCCGTTGTGTTGCATACAATAAGGGAGTCTGTAATATTTTTATAATATTTTCCAGCATTTAAATAACAGCATATTCACTAGTTTAATTAAATGTTAAGAAACACAACTTACCACATTTCAAAGTGAACAAATCTATACGTAACTATTTCTCGCAAAACTTAGTAATTGTGCAATGGTTTGTATGAAGAGCTTTAAATTGAACTCCACTGCAAATCTGCAATTAGCCCAGCATGCAAGTCTGACAAATGCTAGTCTCTTCAGCTCTAATCTTTTTGACATTAATGACATCTCAACATATGTTTAGCAAGTAATTCCTTGCAAGCTGCGATAGAAACCGCAATAATAAAGCATTTGTCAAAAAGCTGATCAGCCACATCGTGAAAATGTCAGTAGTCAATTTGATTGATAAATAGGAGAAAACAAATTGGGGAACTCTTCCCTCTTCTTCCTTTCGAAAGCTCTTCAATGAAAAGCTGCTCCCTCTCAAGTCATGGAATTACAGGATGTGAAAAAACTTGTTAATACCCACCATTGTTTGAAGAAAGTTCATTAAATGGAATGATTTTTTTTTTTTTTTATTTGATGTCGCAAGTTAATGTAAGTATGATCTTATTTCCTTATATCTTTTATATCTATTATATTATTTCAAATCTCTTCTTCCAACCATTTAAAGATTATAGGACATTTTTCTT